AGGGGTGGGCAAAATGTGGCCCGCAGGCGGGATGCGGCCCACCAGGCCAGTCTGTCTGGCCCACGGGGCCCCTAAAAATGTCGGAAATGAATATTTAGCTGCTCCTGGCTGCCTGTCATGCGGCCCTCGATGGCTTGCCAAAACTCAGTAAGTGGCCCTCCGCCCGAAATAATTGCCTGCCCCTGTCCTAGACTGTCCCAAGCCAGCTAGACCTCGTGATCACCAGAGCACCGCTTCACTGCCCCAGCTGCCGCAGCCGCAAGTGATTCCTAATCTTGGCTCTATCTGTTTCTTTTTTTTTTCCTCCCTACCCCCTGCCAACATCTCTCTTTACAGGAAGTCTGCAGTGAGCTGTGGTGTCTGAGCAAAAGCAACCGCTGCATTACCAACAGCATACCTGCAGCCGAGGGGACCATTTGCCAAACCAATACCATTGAAAAGGGGGTAAGGAAGCCGAGGGCACCAGAGTGAGTTGGCAGTGAATGGTCCTCCCAATGACGAGCATGTTGACTGTTTGCTTGCATGAGTGCGGGGCTGATTCAAGATCATGGTTCGCCCACCCCTGGCTCTGGCATCCGGTGCTCAGGAGTAGTCCTTGGAGAGGAAGGCTGGAAGCTGGAACTTTCCAAAGAGCCTCCATGCCCAGATCTCACTGTGTTTCAGTTCATCTCTGACTTCTTCAGTGATCCCAGCATGAAGTCCTGGAGAACTCACCACAAAGTCTATTCAGGGCAGAATCAGCCATAGCACAGGCCCGAAGTGGGGTGCAAGGCAGAAGGAGGGGTGTTGTGATGGTGGCACGAGCGCTAGGCTGAAACTTGGTTCAGTTCCAACCTCTGAAAGTCATTTTCCCTTTCTGTGCCTCAGTTTCCCCATCTGTAAAACTGGGACAATTATTTGCTGAAGCACTTTGAGATCTGCTCATGAACAGTGCTCTGTAAGCGCTAGGTATTAGTAGTAGGCCTCATTTTTCATGTGCAGCTGAATGTGGCCTTTTTTCCAAGACTATTCATTTTGAAAGTGAATTTTTATTTAATGCTGCTCACACCCCTTCTGTGTTTGCTCAGAATTTCCTGTGCCAACATTCAAGTAAGGAGATTTTTTTTTAAGCTTGAATATTTGCTGAAAGCAAATGTCAGCCTGTGAAATGGGCTGTCACCATCCGTTCCAGACATGGTCAGCTGCATGCCATCTAGTGAAGGGCAGGAACAGACACCACAGGACTACCTGGCCCAGCAGGGATTTCCTGGTTTAAATGTTAAGGGCCTGATTCCCAGTTTGCCAGCTTCTTGTGCAGCCATTTACACCAGTGCATATCAAGCGTGAAGCACAGCTACTTCCAAGTGCTAATGACCTGCTCTGCCTTGGCTAGCTGCAAGTGGTGTCTAGGGTAACAGAGAATGAGGTCTGGAGCATTCCTACTGTAACAGAGGTGTGTTTTTCCTGGGGGGGGGGGAAGCCATTGCAAAAGGAGTCAAGAATGAACTTCAAACTCTTAAACAGCTTATGAGTCTCACATGCAGGAAAAGAGGCAGAGTCTGAAAACGCATCATTCTGTCTTTTCCCTATTGGCCATCTTTCCATCTAACAAGCAGCCCACTTTCAAAGAGAAGCAATATGTCTGGTTATTGCAGCACTTGGGCTCCTGGGGTCCAGTCCCACCTCTGACACTGGTTCCCTGTGTAACCCTAAGCATGTGACTTCACCTCTCTATACTGCAGGTTCCCCTCCCTTATTGTGGAGACTATGGGCACTTGTACACATCACGTTTTTTGCCCTTTCCAACACTGCAACAGCATAACTGTTTGCACAAACAGGTTTTCCGGATGAGATGAGGCTCAACCCATTAGTGGTTATGAAGCAATTTGAGAGCCTCATGTGAGATGCTACTGGCCAGTATTAATTATTTGAATCCCCATTAGTCAGAGCTCCCGGTTAGCAAGACCTTGGCTATTTCCCCCCATTGGTTTTCCTGTTGGGCGAGCCCCCAGACTGGAACAGTTTGTAGAGCTGCTGCTTCAGGTCAATGCTGGCAGTTCCCCCATTGGCTGGTAGGGGAGAAAAGGATCTAGTGATTAGAGCAAAGAAGAGAGGCGCTGCTATACTATAGGGGGCACATAAAGACTTCTCTCCTGTGATCTACCAGCCATCCAGGCTAAGGCATCTATAAGATATCTAGGCAACCCAAGTCTGACTGTTGTGGTGCCTCCAGGGTGGGGCTCTCCTTATTTAAATGAAAACAGTGATTTTGTCTTTGGGGATCTTTCTGAGCACTCCCCAGGGGTGTTTCTTACCCATCTTGTGATGAGCAGATCAGGCCTGAATTCTCAGGGCTCTGCACCTGGTGCCACTGCTGCAACAGAGCAGCAGCATTTCACACACACGGCACATAAACTTATACTGACCCAATGTACCAGGCTGATGGCAAGAGTGAGGGTGGTCATTCAGCCAGTCAGATGGACCCCCCAGGGAAGCAATCACATTTCTTTAGCCATCCATGGAAATCCATGACCAGATGTGGATTGACATTCAGATTTCTCAAAAGCAACTGTGACTCCAAACACACCTCCCCTTCCATCCAGTGAAATCAGGGTCTGGGTATGGTGCAGCTTAAGCCCATCTCTGAGACCCAAAATGTTTTCCAAATGAATCGGCTATTGCCCCTGTTACTCAGAGGAGCACCAAAGGGATTGGGTGCTCTTGGGATGCCCATTTGAACAGTCTCAACCTGCAGAACTGGGCTAGGAGCCCCAAAGACTCAGCTTTCTAATGAAAGCAGGTTGTTAATGCTTGAAGGGCGTTCTTGGCTCACCCCATCCCAGGATCAATGTCTGATGGCTCCTTTGCCCTGTCTGCCTCAAGTCTTCTTTCCTTCCCTTGCTGCTCCCCGGCAGAACATATGGATAATAATGGTATGAAGCCCCCATAGCAGTGGTCATTGGGAACAGATAAATGGTCACGGTCTCCCCTCCACTTGGGAGATGCTTGGAAACTGTATATCTAAGGGTCATGCCTGGTCAATAGGCAGCAGTACAAAACCAGTCTAGCCCCAGTCCTTAAGGAGTCACCTAAACTATCATTCTTTCTCCTGTCTCTTCCACCTTTTGTTCATCGAGGAGTGGCTATGGGATCCCCCCCTGCTTTTCCAACGGGTCCCCAAGATCCCAGAGTCAGACCTACCCCTGAGTGACTTGGAAACCCCACATCCTTGGGTGGCCTCCATGTGTGATCAGCCCCTGCACCTCCTCAAGCAGGATGAGACCCAGCACTTCACCTGACTCTCTTCATGTCCACGAATGGTCCTAACCCCCTCGCACTGCTACAGCCTGACTCAGCTACCCTGGCCCAGGGGTGGGGACCTCTCTGGGAGGAGGTTGCATGTTCTTGGTCTTTAAGGCTCTTTGTTTCCCCAGTGGTGCTACAAGAGGGAGTGCGTGCCCTTTGGCACACGGCCGGAGGGAGTGGACGGCGCCTGGGGGACCTGGTCATCCTGGGGGGAGTGCAGCAGGACATGTGGGGGAGGAGTGTCATCCTCCCTCCGCCAGTGTGACAGCCCAAGGTAGGTGAACTGTTCATGCTGCTGAGCTGTCTTCTTGCCTTGTAGACACCCTGTCTCATTCCTCACCCCGTCATGACTGGCTGGGTTACTGGTCCAAGTGGCAGGGAATGAAGCAGCAATGTCCCCAAGCAGCAAAGGGCAGCACTGTATTTGCCAGCCTGATCTGGAGAGCCAGGCTCCAGTCCTCTGTCTGGAGAGATGAGTTTCCTGGAAGTCAGCTCCTGAACACATCTCATCCCTGCAGATCACCAGGAGCTAGAATCAGTCTGTGCTCGGCAGAGATCTTGGCTTCTAAGGAGATCATCACAGGCAGAGCGCCTGGTCTGAATTGCAGGACACAAGTGGGTGTGCTGAGGGTAGAGTGAAAGCACAGTCACTGCTGCACTCGTGCTATATTGTAGACATGCCCAGCTCCAAGTTGCCTCGCTCAAGGTGGGCTTGCGAAACTCATTGCAAAACCCACCTAAGTAAAAAAAACCCACCTAAGTACAGTCTTTGTGTTGCCCTGGCTCCGTGGCTGGCACTCCCTGAGCTGCCTAGTTTAAACCTAGTCTCCCCTGTGCTGCAGCACTACTGCAGCCGCAATGTAGATGTACCATCAGGTTCATGGGACAATGCATTGGCTCCGATTACATATGTGAAGTACGCTAGGTTTCCCATAAGATTGCACTTCTGAGATAAGCCCTACAACAGGAGTTTCTCTCCTACCTGGGACAGTGCTGCAGCAAAGGCTGCAAGCTATGGAAAAAACAAGAGCGCTGCCACATGGCAGGTCGGTGGAAGGGGTGCAAGTTGCATCTTATGGTAGTAAGTGTTCACAGCATGGCCCACCGCACTGAGCCGCCCTCTTTTTCCCTATTTAAAGGCCAACCATTGGAGGGAAATATTGCCTAGGCGAACGGAAGCGCTACCGGTCGTGCAACACCGACGTAAGTGGACTCAGGGCTCTGAGGGGGACTGTGGGCAGTGGGGCATGGCCTTGCAGTGCGCTAGGGCTGTTGCCCAGGCCTAGGCAGGTGCGGGCACAAGGCAGCGTGTCACAAAGCAGGCAGGTGACAATTCCTCTTGCAAGAGAATTGTGCGCAGGGTTGGGATTCGCAGAAAGGTATCGACGGGCTGGAGGCAGAACGGAGAGCAGTCACGAAGCAATCGGAGAGACTGCGTTCAGAGGGGCTTAAGGAGCTCTGTGCTCCTGCACTGGGTAGTTAAAGGAGGGTGGCGTGTGGGCACTGCTTACCCGTGCCAGAAAGGAGAGGGACTATGAAGCACAGCCCAGAAAGGTGTTAGCAAGGGAAGGAGAGAAGGAAGTAATGCTTAGACTAAAGCTAAGTTGAACACAGCTCTGGGAGGTGTCCTGTGGGTTCTGGGGTCTTTGCCATTAATCTCCCTGGCTGTTGCACCCCGCAGGACTGCCCTCCTGGCTCCCAGGACTTCCGCGAGCTGCAGTGCTCCGAGTTCGATAATGTTCCCTTCCGAGGAAAATACTACACGTGGAAGACGTACCGGGGAGGTGAGTGGCACAGGGCACGGGGCTCTTTCCTGCATACAGCTGCATCTTGCCCTCAGAAGAATCAGGGAGCCATTTCCCCCTTCTCTCCCCCCACTTTCTGCAACAATTTGCAATTCGCCCAAGGGGTGAAACGTCTCTGTTCCTACCAGTGCTCCTTGGTTTCCCGCACACGACTTCACTATTGTTTCCCTGCATTAGTCCACATCGCACAAGCCAACCCTACCCGTGCAGCGATCAGTGCAGCCCCATTCCTTTGGCATCTTATTTTTTAAATGCTACCTCCGTGGATGCTTCGAGTGACTCTTGCACAACACCGATTGAAACGCTGCCCATCGCAGACCAGCTGCCAGAAATGTGACGCCACCCTTATCCGTGGAAGTGTGCCCTTTAATTCCTCGCTGGGCAGGAAAACATATCTACCCAGCAGGATCTGAGCTGTTCAGATTATTTCTCGGGGTCCGATTGTTTCTTTAAACGTTGAGGCCTATAAACACAACACCTAGAGACATTGCATTGGGAATTACTAGAGCAGTGCAAACTTCTAGTCCATTCAGTCCCATATCCTGTGCTTGGCAATAGCCAATACCTGGTGGGGTAGGAAAGGAGGTGAGACGCTCCATAATGCACCTAGCCACATGGTGCTGCACACCTTTTTGCATAGTTCAGGTCCTATATGCAGCCACCTGGGAAGGGACCTAAGATGCCTGAGTAGCGGCGGTGCCCCTCTCTTCCCTTAGAGCCATTCGAATGTGTCCTGCAGACACATGGCTAGAAGAAAGTGGTGGGAGGAGGGCTGTGTGGCAGCAATCTTTTAATAATGAGAAAGAACAGTGTGTCTCCTTCATGTAGTTAATGAACTTGACGGGGGGAAATCCTTTGCAGCTGTGTAAATAAGCTTTCCACCCAGCAGGGACCCAGCATCAGGAACAGATGTGCTGAGGCTGCAAGGGATAGATCAATAAAAATGTAATAAAATTGCAAAGCAGTAAGTCAGGCAGACAAAGACGCCGATGGATGCTGGGTTGGGGGATGGAACTGAATTATGGATTTGCCTTTGCTTGGGCTTCTCAGAGACTCCCAACTCAGGGACAGGCTTGGGCTCATGGTGTGAACACAGGACTGAGTATAATGAACAATTAGCCCCGTGCACCTGGGCCCTTGCCGGCTCACACAGCCCTGACACATCTGTGACCTCCAGCCAAGCCCTTGCCTCTCTCTGTGACTCACTTTCCCCATTTCTACAGCTCGTCTTCCTCCCGGGTGGTTAGGAAGCTTCCTGAGTTAATATCCGGAAGGCATTTGGGACTTTTAAGGTCCAGGTTTGCTGTGGTCAATGGTGAATAATAATCATCATGTTCAGCTCTTGTAGCGGGTTCATCCATGGACCTGAAAGCCCTGTACAGAGGTCAGTGTCATTATCCCCGTGAACAGCTGGGGAAACTGTGACACTACGAAGGGAAATGAATTGCCTGTGATCACACAAGCAGAAGTAAAGGACTAGATTTGAAGTCTCCTGAGTCTTAGTCTAGTATCTGGGCTGCTGGCTAATTGTTCCTGTGCCGTATCCTAGACCTCAGGAACGCCTTGGGGATATTGTACAACCTGCAGTCATGCTTTCCAGTTAGCAGAGGCGGAGAATGTATTGGATGGTGATGGCTGTCAGACCTACTCCTCACCAACTAGGTGTAAGAGAGGAAAAGATGCGAAGCACAGGGTGGCAAGGGCAGACAGGGACCCAGAGGACACCCCCAGCACTCAGTGGTGATGCTGGCACTAGCAGGATGCTTAGTTATTTTTCCACTTGGGAGTATCTTTGGCCGAAGTGCGGCGTGCCCTTCCTAGCAGCAGCACCTGGGCATGCAAACCCTGGGTACCAGTGTAGCGCAGCGGGAGTGTGGCACGACGTCATCAAGACAGTCTACGCTGTGCCCAACTTCACCTCTGACGCAAGCCCATTCACGACAAGAGAAGAGACAGGGAGAAGTTCCCCAAACGGGAGGCCAGGAGGCTCTCGAGGTGCCCGCACTGTCCTGCCTTTTTCTCCCGTTGTTCCCCTGTTGTTTTGCTCACCCCCACATTTTAGCAGCACCCCAAAGCCTTTGCTCCAGGTCCCCTCACCCTGCACAGGTGTCACCAGCTCTCGGAGCATCAGAGGGTCCCGGAGCGGGGTGGATTTGCTTTCCCTTCCTCTCGCCCGGCTGCTTGAGCTGCTCCACCCCATCTCTGTCTTCCTGCGAGGAAGGTGGGTCAAGTCCCCTTCTCTCCCACGGGCATACAGTAAGCCTGTGAGCAGAGATCAGTAGGATGTTGGCCATCTAACCCTGCCTTGCTGGCAGGCCTGGAGCACCCACAGGACACGTTCTGCTCCATGCCAGATCTCTCCTGAGCACCCTCTGCCCCTTCAGGGATGCTGTCTTGGAGCTGTTCCTCTGGCGGTTGCCTCATGCCCTCGGGGAGTCCAGTCCTCAAAGCCTCTTCCTCCTCCCTCTTGAGCAAGGCTCCTGTCGGAGAGCTAGTGCCAGCTCTCGGCTCCGTGCCCGCTCCCATGTGACTGCCATGCTCGCCTTTGCACCTCAATGCTGCCACTCTGCCCACACAAGTGCCACGCCGAGGGGCTGGCATGGGGTCCAAATGGGTCAGGACTCCCCCTAAGGCCAGCCCGAGCAGCGCAGTCACTGCTGTTGTGACTGCCTGGGCTAAAGGAGGAGCCGTCCCCTGCATGGGGAACTGGCAGCTTGACAAGCGCGTGATTTGCACTGGGAAGGGGCGGCGATTCTGCCGAAGACTCGGGAGAGCAGGAGCGGGCTGCTGAAAGCTGGCGCCAGCCGCCAGGTCGCTGGCAAGCGGAGCTCGGGTTTTGCATGGGGCCGGCACGGCGTGTTTTCCTGGCGGTGATTTATAACGGTCCCGGAGCCCAGACCCCAGGAGCGTAGGATGCACGGGCCCAGCGAGAAGCGCTGAGCTCAGCCGTTCAGACTTTAACAGTCAGCAGATACCTCGTGGAGCGCGGCTTTAATTGTTTGTTTATTTAATTGTATTCGCTTAGTTATTCAATTTGCTCTCGGCCCCGGCCCGAGCCAAAGGAGAGTGGAACAGCGCTCGGGTCAGGAGGGGGGTGGCGAGGACAGGGGCCTGCTGCAAACAGGAGGGCTTGCTCATCCTAAACAGCAATGCGCTTCAATTCCTGATGGCACGGGATGAGTAGGAGGCACAAACACACATCCTCCGTGCAAAGCATTGTGGGCAAATGCCGATATCCAGCCTGGTTCTTGTTCTTATTGATTTTGGATATGGCGGAGCAAAGCAAAGGAGCCCAGGGTTTTGAGCCTGATTCATGTTTTCTGGACAAGCCTTTCTTTTGTTTGGAGCTGGCATGCCATTTACCGGCGATCCTCGTCTTTTGGGGCACTGCCGCCTTTTTATTTCCCCTCTGCTCGTAAGAGGATGCAGAGTTGGAAAGATTTCCTGGAGAATCAGCTGTCCTAGGAAGGACCATGTCAAAACGGCCTTTTCCTGTACAGCAGGCCCATCCCTGCATGTAGTCACAGCCGCGTCTGTCCATATTACTAACACGAGTAAGCCTTCCACCCTTCTACACCTGCAGGGCCCATGCAGGTAGGAAAGGGGCAGCGGGCTTTCTCCTGGCTCTTACATCACCACATTAAAAGAGCTTGGGATGGGTTTCATTTCTGCCTGTGCAACCACATCGATGCCAAAAGATTGCACCATAGGAGAGGACAGTGGGGTTACAAAGCATCTGCCCCAACCAGGGCTATTAGGTACTACCATATACAGTTCATCCTCATCTCCTTCTTGATCCCTTTGAGCCCAATTCAGCTGTGATCGATACTAGTTTCTAGTAACTAGTTTCAGTGCACCTGATGGAAGCAGGATTTTGCTCATGAAAGCTTGCACACCTCTGATTCAGTTGGCCCGCGGGTGTCAAACTCATCCACCCACCGAGAGGGACGCGGGGCTGGTCTGCAGACCAGATTGGAGCAGCCCCATGCACCAGAGCCAGCACGCAGGGCCCGTCTGGCCCGAGCAGCTCGTGCTCCCCTTAGCTCTGCATGCCACATGCAAGCTGGGCCACGCGTGCAGATCCCGCACGGGGCACGCATCGCATGAGGTGTGTGGGGAAGAAAACCCCATTTCCCACTGGAAACTGCTGAGCAGAAATGACCAGTTGCAGAGTCTGGGCTGCCCTCCCCAGTCCTGTGTGGGGAAACCCAGCTCCAAAGGATGCTGGTGAGAGTCAGTCTGCAGCCCTGCCTGGGCATCTCCAGTCTAGCTGGAGAGGGTAAAGCACAGAATTAATACTGTTAATTTGGAAAGTCATCTGAGGATCACAAAAGCCTCTTACAAACATGGATTAGGACCCGTAGCACCATGATGAGGCCCGTAAGGCATCCGTCACTGAAGAGCTGCCAGCCAGGTGGAATGAGACAATGCCAGGGGCCGGACCGCAGACCACCCCCAGCCAGTGTGAACGCCAAGATGAGGTATATGTGTTCGTCGTACTTCTTTATTTGTTTCAGCCGTGCACCCTGGAGGCAGGAGCTCGCTGCCTTTCATCGTTTCGGTTCGTTTGCCATGTCAGTGCTTTGCTGTGGCGTTGGTGCACATCTGTCCCAGAAGGGTGATCACCCAGATTTGGGTTCCTGGCTCTGCCATGGGGCAGCTCCAGGAAGGAAGGAGGGAAGCTGCACGTGGAAATCAATGAAACAGAACCAGGCAAATCTTGCCCTGGCTGCCTCAAGGATCACACTGTCATCTAAATGCTGACCTTAATCGTGCTGTTTAAGCTGTGGCTGAGCAGGTGCAGGTGATGCCATGCTCACCTCGGTGGGATTGCAGAAGGTATAAGCCAGGGCAGAGTTTGACTGGGTCATATAACCCTTGTTGGAGCACCAGGACACCCGGGTAAACACTCCTGGGGGACTTTGAGCCTCCATCCTGTCCGTCCCCTGGACGGTGGTAACTACAGCAGGCCAGCACCA